CTTGTTGGGCCATCCTAATATGCCGGAAACGCCAGCCAGAACAATTGTTGCCAAGCCAGCTGTGCTGAAGAAACAGTGGCGTATCTCACGACAGCTTCGTGACCACTTTTGGAAAAGGTGGATTGCCGAATATTTGCTCACACTTACTAGAAGAGCCAAATGGTGCCAGTACACAAAGCCCGTAGCCCCAGGTGACTTGGTATTAATTTGTGACCCTGATGTCTCCCGTCGTGAATGGAGAAGAGGTCGAGTTCAAGAGGTGTACGCTGGCAAGGATGGTGTCGTCCGACGAGCTGAAGTCGCTACGACCATTGGAATCCTGAAACGCCCCGTCTCTAAACTTGCCGTCCTAGATATTGAATAGTGAATCGGGTCGATTCACGGGGGCGGGGATGTCGCTGCCGATCATATATATTTTGTTTATTTATTTTTGTCGCTTTTATATTAGTTTCCACACAGCATCATATGGGTGACGGTGTGACGTCATTGACACAGCCATCCATATGATTGCATGTGAGTGTTTCTATGTTTTGATTTACTTATTTGCCGCAGTCCCTTTTTTCCTCACATTCTTTGCATTGAGTTCGTTCAAAACAGGTTTTATGTTGGAACGAAACCGTTAGAAATTTTGTAATGCAAATAATTTAATGGTAGTTTATTTTGTCGCCCTTTTAATAAATTTAAAGACTGCGGTAAGTTATGTGGCTCATAATATTTTTGTAAGTTTTAATTTTATATTTTTATTAGAAATAAACGCGCGAGTTAAGCAATAAACCCATATTAAATTAAATTGTTGTTGTTTCTATTTTGGTCGTTTGGGTTTGTTGCCAGTGGTTAAATTCGCTATCCCTCCCAGGAGAAACTCACGTTGCAGCCAGCGTCACAGTTCGAAGGCGAAACTTTCACGTTGAGATAGGCGGCAAAGAACAGTTTCGGCATCCTTCAATTCGGCGACTGTTAGACAATTTTCACCCACACCAATTTTCTTCTTCAAATATCGTTCGATGAATCTCAGGACATAACCCATCGTACGTTTTATCCTAAGAATAGAATAAAAACGATTAAAATCAATAACAACATTTGTACTGACCGTTAACACAAATTTTGAACGAAGCTCTTCCTCAGACGTTTCATCATTGGAGGTTGATATCATTTCGGGCCAATCTTCCTCCGGCTGATGCAAAAATTGTGAACCTTGGTACCATCGGGAATTAAAGAGAAGTCTATATTTCTGTTTGCTCTTGTTGTTTCATCGGCAACATTCAAATTTGTAGGCAACCATTTCCAATCGGCAGCTTGTAGTTCAAGTCTCGGTATAGTCATTGATTTGAGCGGGGCACATTTGGTCTTTGAGGTTATAAAGGTGACTTCAATTTCACTATCTGACTTTATCGACCTCCAATACGACACGGCACTAAATGCGTCTTCGCTGGCATCGACGAAAACATGCAACTCGACTTTTTCAGGCAAACTACTTTTAAAGTAGTGTCTAGGAACACTCACTTTGGCAACATTATTCAACTCATCACGCCAATTATTCCATATGTCATACAGACCATTGGGGATATCTTCATCCCAACGAATATCATATCTCTAGACACTTCTTAGCAACAACTTAGCAGTTACCATGAAGTGACTTAACAACCCCAGGGGATCGTATACCGACATGACAACACTCAACAATTCTCTTTTTGTTGGGCACCTTTCTCCACTGATGATGTCGGGTTTCACACGATGGAACTTCAGCTCGAACTTAAATGCGTCGTCACCAGGATGCCAATACACGCCTAGAATCTTTTCCGTGCAAAACTGAACATCGGCTAAATCAGCACACAAGTTGACATTCCTTCCTAAATTACCCTCCAGAGCCACGACGACCTCTTTTGAGTTCGATGTGAAATTGCGTAACTCGAAACCAGCTGACTTGTGTATTTCTCGCACTTGCATTGATATTTCTATGGCTCGATAATGGCCTTCACTGCTCTGGGGTAACGCTCACGAAATTCTAGGGCATTGGTTCTTTTACATATTGGGCAATACATGGCGAACAAGCGGTTCCAAAAGTCATCACATTCATCTCAAATACATCTGGAGAACATCCTTCATTTTCACGCCAAAGAAATTTTTGAGAACGTCTGTCTTCTGCGGCAACAACAATTTGGTGAAACATATCTTTGATATCTGCGCAGACAGCAACTTTTCTCATTCGAAAATTGAACAAAACGGCAGGCAATGGTCTGTATTGTTGAGGACCTTTCAATAATCTCGAATTTAAAGAAACTCCTTCGACTCTAGCGGCAGCATCAAACACGAGGCGAAGTTTCCCAGGCTTCAAGGGATTCAATACACTAAAATGTGGCAGATACCAAGTTCTCGGGCTACAAATAGACATTTCAGATGATGTCAACTTTCGTACATACCCTTTGTTGACATAATCTCGAATGATTCGCTTGTAGTCGGCACCAAACTCAGGATTCTTCTTCATTTTCCCCTCAATACCAACAAGTCGATTAAAGGCCATGGAATAGCTATCCGACAAGACCACATTTTCATCACGCCATTGTAGTCTAGATTGAAATCGTCCGGCAACCTTTATCGTTGAATCCTTCAGCAACTGTCTAGCACGAATATCATCCTTACTCTCTATTGTCGGCAGGGCTTTGACACCAAAATTTTCCGTTTCGAAGTAAAATGACACCAAATCATATAAATTTTGCTCTGGCCGAGCTGTCAGCAAACATGTGTGGGATCTAGGCTGTCTTCCACACACCTGACCAAAAAATACCCATCCTAAGTGTGTATTTGCTGCGTAAGGTCCACCTTCTTCCAATAGCACGACTTCATCTGGCAACCCCAAAGGCAGTGATCAAGTCCGATGAGCAACTTAGACGTAACGTTGCTGTATGGCGGCACTGGAACATCATAATGTTTAGTTGACTTCATATTAAAGTTTTGAGTGGGCAACTTCAAATTTGGAACACCATACACATTTCTCAAAGCATACTTCCTCTTCTTTGAAGCACCACTCACATGAAGATCAACCACCATTGTACTTTCTTGAGACGACTTACCACCATACCAGCTTAAATTCAACTTGCTTTGACGACCACTAAGTCCTAGTTCATCCTGCAAGGCAAAAGTTTCAAGAACACAATTCGGACCATAAAGTTTCACAGGCAGCACTCGGAACACCAAGTTCATTTTTCACTAATACTGGACACACAGCTCAACACTGGTTCTGCATCTGGATCACTTCGAGTAACAACATTATTTGCATTTGAATTATTTTCCCCAAAATTTCTTGACTCGTCATGCAACAATTTGTTATGTTTTCTTTGGCAACCATTTATTTGACATTGTTTTCTACGGCGGCAATTTCTAGTAGAATGTCCACTTCGATAAATGTTAATGACCATTTGCTGTTTCCAACAAGGCGGCAAGATTTTGTACTTTTATTGCAAATGGCACCAACTTTTCCACGGCGTTTTCACTAATGGACGGAATTTCCCTCACCTGATTCAACTGCCCTCGTATCAACAATTCAGGTCGGCCATATTTGAATTTCAGCTGTTCCATCACGGTGTTCACATTATCGGAATGTATGAGCAGCGACTTAACACATTCTCTGGCATCACCCTTTAATGCCTTCTTCTTCTGTATTGGTACGCTGCTGTCGAATGCTCAAACGCTGTTGAAAACATTGGCCAGTCTTCAGAAACACCACTAAAACTCGGCAAGTCAAATAACCTTTTTGGCAATGGCGGCAAAAGTTGGCAGCGTCGGTTGGACAACGGGCGACGGATCACGTTGCAGAGGAGGTGGCTGACTATAACGGAAGACCGTAGGCTGATTACCGGTTACGTAAGATTGTGTTGTGACACTGGGCCGATTTGTGTCGACACCAGGCTGGGTGCCGCTGGAACCACTATTCTCACTCAAAATGTTACCTAAACAGCAATTCAATTTTTCAGCACCACAAATTTTTTCAGAAAATTTCACACAAAATGGCTCCACTTTAATTTTCAGCACCACAAATATTCCAGAAAAATCTTTCCAAAATGGCCTCACAATTAATTTTAAATTTCAGCAAAGTTCGATCCGCAATGCGAAATAAAATTTGACGCAGATGCAGAATGCGAAATAAAATTTGACACTGGCTGCGACGTGAGTTTCTCCTCGGAGTGATAGCGAATTTAACCACTGGCAACAAAACCAAACGACCAAAACAGAAACACCAACAATTTTATTTAATATGGGTTTATTGCTTAACTCGCGCGTTTATTTCTTATAAAAATTTAAAATTAAAACTTACAAAAATATTATGAGCCACACAGCTTACCGCAGTCTTTATCCCCCACGAACTAAATTTATTAAAAGGGCGACAAAATAAACTACCCTTAAATTATTTGCATTACAAAATGTCTAACGGTTTCGTTCCAACATAAGACCGGTTTTGAACGAATTCAATGCAATAGAATGAGAGGAAAAAAGGGACTTCTGCAAATAAGTAAATCAAAACATAGAAACACTCACATGCAATCATATGGATGGCTGTGTCAATGACGTCACACCGTCACCCATATGATGCTGTGTGGAAAATAATAATAATATAAAAATAAATAAACAAAATATATATGAGCGACAGCTACAAATTGTGTATTTGTCATTAAGACAACATATTTATTACTTAAAATGTTTTGAGAGTGTTTTAAAGTCACAAACAAAAGTGGTTTCAAACCGAAAGAATTTTGCTTTTTTGTTTTCTGATGTCACTGTGACATGCCTGTGAAAACGGCTATTGCAGTAAATTGTAAGATAAACAGTAGACACTGAGAAGATTTAAGTACGTCCAATGTGACATATGAACAACCTTCGCTCCTGACACTTAACGAGTAAAAAGTGATTGTGCAATATGTTGGGTAATATTTAAAATTGTCTCTCCGAAAGTTGATCTCCAATTTGACCTCAACTGAAAATGTAAAATAAAAGACTGCCAACAAAGCATTTAAAAATAAAAAATCTTATTCATACCTCAGGTAAAATGTGTTATAGGTAGCAATAACAAATGAAAAACAATAAATCTTGCGAATTCATCGCGCAAGGCTAGACTTAAACTTATTATGATATTATTTATTAATTTATTAAAGTAAGATTTTGAAATAAGTTCTATGATTATATTACATAACGTTTTTAATGGGGTTAAGCCAGCTGCTCAAAAATCAGACCTCGCTCACCAGTCCAATTTCTCTTAATTTTTAAATCATTCAAAAAACCAGTATTAAAACATGATTTATCATGTATTGTAATAATTCGCTTTATTATTTTGGACAACATCCAAGTTTTTATAACAATTGCAATGAACGGATGGACATAAAGAAAAATAGGTTTTTGTTTTCTCTTAATCTCTTTTTTGGACTCATATGGTAGCACAGGGTTTTGAGCAGTGCTGGCTTAAATGCATGCCTTTGTAATGATTCAACTAAACTATAATCTTAAAAATTCCATTTGTAAATTCATTATTAAATATTATAATTGTTATGTTACAATTAGCATTTGCCTTATACAAGTTCCATAAATATGTATATTAACGATACCCAACATTACTAATATTGCACATACGAAAACAGTAGGCATACCCATTTTAACAACCTAATACAATGTAAAATATTTAATAATAAATTTTGCAACCTTTAAATACACTTTTATCTTCATAACAAATATTGTGCATGTTTTTATTTAAGAAAAATATATGCATAGTTTGAGATCGTACCTACATATAAAAAACTTTTAAGTTGTAGTGATATATGAAAGACGATTATCAGGTATTTGATGGAAACCATTCGACAAGTTTTGTCAAAAATCGTTTTATATCATTTTTACAAATTCTTTTATTGAAATTTGAAAATTTTTCGAAAATATGATTGTATAAGAGCATTCTGCCCAACAAGTGTATGTTTATCATCAACGACCATTAATATCTGTCGAATCTGTTTTCATCACATACCTATATGACATGTTTTTAATTTTATATTTCTAAAATTCAATATCATATAGTCAGTAACGGTCATTCCTATTACCTTAATTGTGATAAAATAAACTACTACATTTACTATTCAATTCAAATAGGCGCTTAAGTGTTGCCGGTCTGGCTAGAAGATTGGTTGGAAAGGCCGCTACAGCAGCTGACTTGAGGAGGTTTAGAACCTTGCGGGGATAGACCAACGGAATCGCTCAGATTTTTATTCATTGATGAAGAATTGTCTTTACTACGGGCTTGATCGATCAGCTCTGCTGCAATTTCGTAAAATAGTCTTTCTACGTTCTCTGCCTCCTTGGCTGATGTTTCTAAAAAATACATATCATGCTGTTTGGCAAACTCTTCGCCTATTTGTGTAGGTATTTCTCTGTCGTCTCTATCCGTTTTGTTGCCCACTAAAATTTTCAAGACTTTTGTATTAGCATATTCATGAATTTCACGTAGCCAATCCGGAAGACAATCAAATGTTGGCTGGCAACTAATGTCGTATACTAAAATCAAAGCGTGGGCAGATCTGTAGTAGCTTTGTGTAATTGAACGAAATCGTTCTTGTCCAGCCGTATCCCAAATTTGTAGCTAAAAATAAAAGAAAAATTACTATAATAAATCGATTTTAAAATAAAGTTTCATTGTAGATATTGTTTTTTAATATATTTAGGAAATTAACTATTAACTTAGTAAAAAGTATCGTTTTTTTATTTTTTTTAGAGATAGGTATGTACCCGAACCCGAATACTCGGATGACCTAGCACCATTTAATAATCCCTTTAAAACGTCAATATTGGACCGTACCATGACTTTTGCCCCATGAACATTTCCAGTTCCGCCAGTTTTGTTGATTTCAGCTGGTATTATGGTAGCTATGTCCACATTGTTTGCATTGTGTACTAGCTGATACTGCGCTTTTATTTTGTAAATGCGAGCACCACTACTTTTGTACAAATTCAATACAGTAGAGTTGTGGTCGTTAACTTGTTGATTTGTGGGGTATACCCTTAACGCTTTGCAAACTCATCACTCGAAATCTTGCCATTAAAATACTCTCAACGCATTTAAAATATCAATAAAAATCTGGTCACCTTGCTGACGCATATTTTCAGTTAATTCACACAGCGTGAATAAACGCAAGAGATGTGTAGCTGGTTGGAGATGTTCTGGCTGTTTGAAAACAGGTGTTCCTGATAGTTTTATAGGAGGCAAAAAACTCATTTTCACAGTTCTTAATTTGCCTTAATCGAGCGTCCATCATGCATAACATTTGATAAGACACCATCGTCGACAATCAAAAATTCTGTGTGATCCCATTGTTGCCTCATTATTCGCAAATAGTTTATTTCGCTTTTTCCTCGCGCGTTTTAACCTTTCACCTTAATTTGGGCGGTGTACCGCTAACGACATATCATTTATAGCCACCCTAACGCCACACAGTCCTCATCTTGACTTGAGTGGCGGATTCAGGCTGGATTAATCAGATACCTAAATTACAGATGCAATTTCTAAATTTAAATTTCATTATATTACAGATGCAATTTCTAAATTTAAATTTCATCATTATTATAAAGATGTGGCTGCGCCCATCTTTAATATTGAGGTTGTATAGAGCACTCTCTAGCCCTTTTATTTGATACCCATGTTGGTGGGATTGATAAACAATTGTTATCAGCCATTTGGTAGCGGCGACCATTTAGATTTCAATTTTACAAAGTAAATTGTATTCTACTTGTTGAGACCTTTCATTTAATACCCATGTTGATGGGATGTATAAAACCTAAGTTATCCGCAATTTTGTAGAGACCGCCATCTTGGATTTTAATTTTATATGGTACATTGTATTCTATTGGTTGAGCGCTTTCGTTTGATACACATGACCCAAGAATAAATAAAACAAACGGGTGAGATAAATAAAACCGTTTAAAAAAAATAAATAAAATTGATTGGTAACATTGCTCTACTGTGATTTCATTGTACCATGGGTGGAAGCATGGTACAATGAAGAGAAGGTAGGCCAACTTTGAAAAAAATGCAAGTATAGAGGTCTGCCTGTTTGGCTTGTAATGTCAGATTTAGTATCAAAACAATAAAAAAAATCAAACAACTTGTTGCATTTAGTTTGAATAAATGATTGAAAACCGCGAAAACTGAATAAAAGGTCAACACTTCTTTTCAAAACCAGGTTATATATATCTCTAAAGGATTATTTCGGTACAAAAACTCTAGATTTTGTCGATGCATACGATGAAATAAACATTTTGAAAACATCCGAATTTGAATGTTTTCTGAACAATTTTTTTTGTTATTGGAAAGAAAACACATACATAAACAAATAAAGATGACATATTAAGCCAAGAAAATAAAAAAAATTGAAATCATATGGTATCATAGCCCTACCTTGATATCATTGTACCATGGGTGGAAGCATGGTACAATGAATTCAAGGTAGGACAGAGCTATCATATGATTTACATTTTTTTATTTATCTGGCTTAATATGTCAACTTCATTTGCTTATGTGTGTGTCTTCTTTTCAATAATAAAAAAATTTTCAGAAAATATTCAAATTCTGGTGTTTTCAAAATGCTTATTGCAACGAATGCATCGACAAAATCTACAGTTTTTGTCGCGAAATAAACCATAAAAGATATATAGAACATGATATTGAAAAGAAATTTTGATCATTAATTCAGTTTTCGCGGTTTTAAATTATTTATTCAAAATCAATGCAACAAGTTGTTTGCTTTTTTATTGGTTTGATTGTAATTCTGACATTACAAGCCAAACAGGTAGACCTATATACTTGCAATTTTTTCAAAGTTGACCTACCTTCTCTTCATTGTACCATGGGTGGAAGTACATATTCAGGGCTGTCATAGAAACCAATTTTGTCACTATTGGTTTTAAAAACGACAAGAAAAAATGATTTGGTGTCATGAAAATCAATGTTTTCGGTTTTATTTTCGAATTAGAATTTTATCGGTTTTGGTTGTCATAGAAGCCAATGTTATTGGTTTTGTTATTGGATATAAACCAAGTTGCTTAGAGCTGTCACTTTTCATTTGCTTTGGATTTTTTAAACAATTTTTAAAGGATATTCAAAGGACTAAAAATGTGGATTTTTAAACAATTTTTAAAGGATATTCAAAGGACTAAAAATGTGGATTTTTTAAACAATTTTTAAAGGATAATCAAAGGACTAAAATTGTGGATTGTTTAAACAATTTTTAAAGTATATTCAAAGCACGAAAAATGTGGATTTTTAAAGGACATTAAAAGGACAATAAACGTGGATTTTTTAAAGAATTTTTAACGGACTATAAAGTGTTTTTTTAAAAGAATTTTTAAGGGACTATAGACGTGGATTTTTTTAAAGAATTTTTAAGGGACTATAGACGTGGATTTTTTAAAGAATTTTTAAGGGACTATAGACGTGGATTTTTTAAAGAATTTTTAAAGAATATTTAAAGGGCTATAAACGTGGATTTTTGAAAGAAATTTCAAAAGGATATTTAAAGGACCATAAACGTGGATTTTTTAAAGAATATTTAAAGAGCTATAAACGTGGATTTTTGAAAGAAATTTCAAAAGGATATTTAAAGGACTATAAACGTGGATTTTTGAAAGAAATTTCAAAAGGATATTTAAAGGACTATAAACGTGGATTTTTGAAAGAATATTTAAAGGGCTATAAACGTGGATTTTTTAAAGAATTTTTAAAGAATATTTAAAGGGCTATTAACGTGGATTTTTTAAAGAATTTTTAAAGAATATTTAAAGGGCTATAAACGTGGATTTTTTAAAGAATTTTTAAAGAATATTTAAAGGGCTATAAACGTGGATTTTTTAAAGAATTTTTAAAGAATATTTAAAGGGCTATAAACGTGGATTTTTTAAAGAATTTTTAAAGGATATTCAAAGCACTAAAAATGTGGATTTTTTAAAGGATATTCAAAGCACTAAAAATTTGGATTTTTTAAAGAATTTTTAAAGGATATTCAAAGCACTAAAAATGTGGTTTTTTTAAAGAATACTTAATGGGCTATAAACGTGGATTTTTTAAAGAATTTTTAAGGGACTATAGACTTGGATTTTTTAAAGAATATTTAAAGGGCTATAAACGTGGATTTTTTTAAAGAATTTTTAAGGGACTATAGACGTGGATTTTTTAAAGAATTTTTAAGGGACTATAGACGTGGATTTTTTAAAGAATTTTTAAGGGACTATAGACGTGGATTTTTTAAAGAATTTTTAAGGGACTATAGACGTGGATTTTTTAAAGAATTTTTAAAGAATATTTAAAGGGCTATAAACCTGGATTTTTTAAAGAATTTTTAAGGGACTATAGACGTGGATTTTTTAAAGAATTTTTAAAGAATATTTAAAGGGCTATAAACCTGGATTTTTTAAAGAATTTTTAAGGGACTATAGACGTGGATTTTTTAAAGAATTTTTAAAGAATATTTAAAGGGCTATAAACCTGGATTTTTTAAAGAATTTTTAAGGGACTATAGACGTGGATTTTTTAAAGAATTTTTAAGGGACTATAGACGTGGATTTTTTAAAGAATTTTTAAGGGACTATAGACGTGGATTTTTTAAAGAATTTTTAAAGAATATTTAAAGGGCTATAAACGTGGATTTTTGAAAGAAATTTCAAAAGGATATTTAAAGGACCATAAACGTGGATTTTTTAAAGAATTTTTAAAGAATATTTAAAGAGCTATAAACGTGGATTTTTGAAAGAAATTTCAAAAGGATATTTAAAGGACCATAAACGTGGATTTTTAAAGAATTTTTAAAGAATATTTAAAGGGCTATAAACGTGGATTTTTTAAAGAATATTTAAAGGGCTATAAACGTGGATTTTTTAAAGAATTTTTAAAGAATATTTAAAGGGCTATTAACGTGGATTTTTTAAAGAATTTTTAAAGAATATTTAAAGGGCTATAAACGTGGATTTTTTAAAGAATTTTTAAAGAATATTTAAAGGGCTATAAACGTGGATTTTTTAAAGAATTTTTAAAGAATATTTAAAGGGCTATAAACGTGGATTTTTTAAAGAATTTTTAAAGAATATTTAAAGGGCTATAAACGTGGATTTTTTAAAGAATTTTTAAAGAATATTTAAAGGGCTATAAACGTGGATTTTTTAAAGAATTTTTAAAGAATATTTAAAGGGCTATAAACGTGGATTTTTTAAAGAATTTTTAAAGAATATTTAAAGGGCTATAAACGTGGATTTTTTAAAGAATTTTTAAAGAATATTTAAAGGGCTATAAACGTGGATTTTTTAAAGAATTTTTAAAGAATATTTAAAGGGCTATAAACGTGGATTTTTTAAAGAATTTTTAAAGAATATTTAAAGGGCTATAAACGTGGATTTTTTAAAGAATTTTTAAAGAATATTTAAAGGGCTATAAACGTGGATTTTTTAAAGAATTTTTAAAGAATATTTAAAGGGCTATAAACGTGGATTTTTTAAAGAATTTTTAAAGAATATTTAAAGGGCTATAAACGTGGATTTTTTAAAGAATTTTTAAAGAATATTTAAAGGGCTATAAACGTGGATTTTTTAAAGAATTTT